CCTCCAAATTATCTAATTTGCCGCTGACCCAAAGCTTATTTTTTTAAACTTCGGAATATTTTTAACGATTTTTTTCCTAAAACGGTGGCAATTTTTGTAATTTTTCCAACAATTTGGCAATATAAATAGTAATATCTCATTAACCCCAACTTTCTTTCTCTACTTCTTTCTCTTCCGCCAGAGAGAGAAATTCTCTCTTTTCTCCACTCCACGTCTCCACCAGTTCACAATTTCGTCCCATTGGTTCAAGGCAAGGCAAAGGTTATTAAAGCATCTGAGCTTGTATTAGGGTTTTGAAATCTCAAAATCAAAACCCTAATCCAAACTCAGGAAAAGGCAGATCTAGGTTTTGAAGTGTTGATATTTGAATCTTCAGATATCTACATAAGTTTCTCATCATTTGTCACTTTTCTTACCTATTTAATAAAAGCCCTAGCCCCAATTTCTTTTTTCCCTTGAAATTTTAATCCTAATCCTCAAAAAATGGAATCTTGAATTTAGATTTACAAATTTTTACACCAATTTCTTTGATGGAGAAAACTTATAAATACTAGTATTAGAATTTATAAATAGTAATAGATTAGTGTGATCAATAAGTGACAGTGCGTGGCTACTTTTCTAGTCAACCTTATTAACTAGTGCTGAATTTTCCATTATTTGCTCTGTTTTCTTTTAGTATGGTATGTCAATGCTTCATTTGTGCCTATAAGGTTTTTATTCTACACAATTTTCAATTGTTGCTAGTTCTCTTTTTTTTTTTTTTTCTTTTTTTGATATGTGCATGTCTTGTATAATTATATATTTGTAGGTTCCCTATCCTCTCCGCAATGGTAGAGACATTTTAGCTATTCCAATTTCTACAGTTGCCTCAGAGTGTGCTTTTAGCACAAGTGGAAGAGTCTTGTCTAACTTTAGGAGTTATTTATCTCCTAAAACAGTTGAGGCTCTACTCTGTACCCAAGATTGGTTAAGGTCTAGGGGGGGACCTATTCTTATTGATGAAGAAGATATTGACAATATTGAGGCAATTGAGAAAGGTAATAACATATCTAACTTCTTTTATAAATCCTAATCCTGTTTTTTCTTTTCTTTTCTTGTCTTTATAGCTTATACCCTGACTTTATGTTTAACTTGGTTATGACTTATGAATTTGACTTGTGTACTTTTACTTTGTCAAATTCTGATGGGAGCTCTCCAAATTATGTTGTTCTTGATGACTGATCTAATATGGCTCTGCAAATGTTTTTTTTGCTAATATGGTTTTTTTTGTTAATATGTATTACATCTCAAACACAAACAGTACATAGTGTTTAATGATTCTTATAGTCTTTTGCACAGCACTCACTATCACTAACTATACTCAGCTTAGCTAAGGCACTTAACAATGGGAACTTAGAAAGCTGTGAAGAATCAGTGGATTCATTGCAGGCCAAGTTTTTGTGTTTTTTGTTGATGAACTTGGTCTTCTTCTCTTAGACCGGTAGTTGATAAATATGTCTAGTGTCTGTTGAGCTGAATGTTGGCTTATTGGTTGTAGTCATAGGCCAATTATTTGCTTTTTGTTTTTGTAAACTTGATCTACTTGCACAATATGATTAGTCTTATAATCTTATGAACTCATTTATGCATGCATGTTGCTTTTATATTCTTCAAATTTGGAAATGCGATATGAATGCTTATCTATGAGAATGGTTATCTATGAGACTAGGAGTTTACTGTTTTATAATATAGTTAATTAATTCCTTTGCTTGGTTCATTAATTGTGCATCATAAATTTGTAAATATTAATGATAACAATACAAAAAAAAATGATAATTTTGAGCTTTTAAGATTAAATTCTGAATGACTTAAATTAATTGATAATGGAGAAAATAAGTTTAAAGATGGTAACATGGGATGGTATTGGTAAGGCAAGTTCATTACCATTAAAAACGGTTGGTAACCATTACTAAAAAATCATCAATTGGTATGGAAGTGGTAAATTTTTTTCATTACCACTTAAAACGGTTACCATCATTTGAGAGTGGTACGGTAACCGTACCATACCATGCCCAACCCTAATACAACACCAACTACTATTTCCATGGTTTTAAAACTCTGCCCAGCTCGGTCCGGTTGAACCAGTTCAACCAGACTCAAGCATAAAAATGGGCCGATTTCATACATTGACCCATTTTGGAAGTTAACCCGGCCCAAATACCCTCAAGTCGGTGTTCGATATCTGATATGCTCATTGTCTGCTGACCGAGTTGGGTTGGCCTGTGATTTTCAAAACTTGCAGGGGCAGCAGCGAGCTCAACCTTTTTGAAAGTATCTTAGTAGCATGCTCTGGCCATTTTTTGATTCCCTTTAAGCACTCCTACCCCCTGAGGAGTTGGGAATTTCATGTAGAGATAGGGTTGAGAAATAACAGCTTTCAGCTCACAGAGGGTGGCTCTTCCTAATATGGCGTTGAAGGCTGACTCCATTTTGATGACCAGGAAGCTGACTGAAGCGATCCTGAAGCGTGGTTCTGAACCCACATAAATGGGAAGTGTAATTACTCCCTCCACTAGAACAGGTTGATTATCAAACCCATAGATGGGCCCTTCATATTTTTTGTAGCGAACTGGGGTTCAGCTGCATCTTTTGGAAGCAGCTCCAATACAGGATATCGAGTGAGCTACCAGTGTCAATGAAAACCTTATTGACGTTATGATTGCCTATATGGACTGTTGCTACAAAAGGATCTGCATGAGGCATCACGACGTTAGGCTCTCCTTCTGCTCGTTGGTAATCTGCCGGGCTAAACGTAATGGCCACATTCTCCCACTCCGCTTCTTCAAATGGGCGCTTAAGAGGCCGGTTCTTATTTACTGTCATCACCTGGCGAGTGTATGCCTTGTGGCCTCGAGCGCTTTGACCCCCTGCATGCATACCACTAGAGATCATATTGATTGTGCCAGATGGCGGGGGTATTCCACCATACCCAACCCTTCTGTGGTCCTTTTGGTTCTATGTAGGTGCTTTCTGTTCTTGCCCACGCCTATTGAACGGGCGTCCCCTGTATGCTCTGTTTGGCACAAATGAGTATGGAGCTGCCTGGTAAGAATGTGGATTGCTACCGAGCTGATATCCAGGTGCTTAAGATAGGCCGTACTCTTGTACAAAATGGGTCTGGGTGGGTTGCCGCACAAAAGGCTTCTGCACATACCCTTCCAATTTTCCATTGCGAGCCAAGAATTCGAGCTCATCCTTCAGACTCTGACAGTCTTCTGTGTTATGGCCATATACACGGTGATAGTCACAGTATTTGCTTCTGTCAGCTCGTGAAGAATCATGCGTTTGTGGAGGGGGTCTCTTGACCCAGTGTTGTATTTGCGCCAATATCTAGGATCGTGACGAGCTCAGGGGGATGTAGTTGTCATATTTTGGATAGGAAGGTGGTTTCCCTCTCTGCTCGCCAACCTTCTGTTTCTTTTTGTCATCTCTGCTTTCAGGCTGCTTGGGCTTTTTACCCTGCTTATCTTCGGCTCGTCGCTTAGAAGATTGAAAATCTTCGGATAATATGAAGCTTGCAGACCTGTCATTTACTTCATTCCACGACTTGGGTGGATTCTCCAGCAGGTCGTCCAGAAACTGGCCAAGTTTCAAACCATGCAACAAGGCAGATAAGCAGATGGTATCGGGGACGTTATCAATGTCCAAAGTAGCTTTGTTGAATCGTTGCATGTAGTCCCTCAAAGATTCTCCCTTTTTCTTATGAACTTGCATCAGTTCGGTCGCTGTACGTTTAATCTCCCTTTGGCTTGCAAATTTGTTGGAGAATAGCTTGGCGAGCTGGGAGTACGAGTCTATAGAATGCCTGGGGAGTTTATGATACCATCTCTTGGCCGTTGATTTTAGTGTCGTTGGGAACACTTTGCACATCATGGCATCATTGGCATTTTGGATTCTCATGATGGCCTGATAGGTGTGCAGGTGTTCATCTGGATCATCCGAGCCATCATATGTCTCTAGGTGGGGAATTTTGAATCCCTCTTGGTATGGTTCTGCTGTGATAGATAGGTTCAGTGGGGTGCTATCTAAATCAAGAGTTTGCTTATGCGACTTGGGACTTTTCAGCTCGTCGATGGATTTCTGTACGTCCCGTAATTGCCTTTCTAGGTCTACATTCTTTCTCATCAGTTCTTCACTATGTTTGGACGAGCTGGGCTCATTATTTAGCCTCCCACTTCCCCTTGGTTTGGTTGGCACTACTATATTGCTCAGAGCAGGGGAGTTTCGTGTGGCAACAACCGCAGCTGGTTGTGCATCCCTGTTCAACAAAGGAATCAGGGGATCATTGGGGATCAGGCGGGCAAGGATTTTACCCATTGCCATTTCAAGAACTCTGGTTCTCTCTCCGAGCTCGGTTGTCCGAGCAGGTCTTGTTGACCTTTCAGGTCGTTCATGCTGTGAATTGTCTGGTCTAGAATGTCTTTGTCTCGTTCCTGTTGGAACTTGGAATTGTTCTGGCTGGGTTGCATACCCAGTTGGTGTTCTTTCATCATCATTTGTTTCACTTAGGTGATCCTATTCTGCTCCTCCGACGAAAAGGTTTCTTGGCATTGGCCTAAAGTCATTCAAGCCGGGCTCGGATACTTGAGCAGCCTCCTGTTCGTCCATTTCATTTATTGGAGGGTGACCCCCTGTAAAAGTACGAACCATTTTGTCTTTCAGCGGGTTAAGCTACACAACTTCTTGTTCAGATTCCCACAGACGGCACCAAATGTTTGGGTAGCTTCGCAGTCCAACACTGTTGAAATCCTCAGCTGCTTCTACACTTGAAAATCCCGAGGTTGTTTCCTCGGGGAAAACACTCCGACGCTCAAGTCAGCAATACTCAATATTCTAGAGAGAGATGCTTTCAAGGAGTAATTGCAGAAAGAGAAGCGCAGAAATTAATTACCTTCATTGTTGATAGTTGGGGGGTATTTATAGCCCCAAATGCTGACATGCATCAATACATGTAAGTAACTCATTGGCCCACGTGGTGCTGCTCACATGGGTGTGTCTCCTCCTCTTGGGCCTGTGCGTGCATAGTTGGGCCTGCTACATGTGGCCCGAAGTGGGTGTTAGGCCTAATCCCAGCACCACTCATCTTCCACTCCTTTACCGGCCCAAACAAAAGCAGCAAAGCATAACAAATTGTCCCTGATTTTGCTCACATCGCCACCTAATTTTGCTCACACCACCATCACTCATCTTCCTCTCCTTCACCAAACCAAAAAGAAGCAGTAAAGGAAATAGATCGTCCCAACAGAGGCAGTCCGTGACTCCGTGACTCATTCTCACCTCTTGGGCATTTGATTTAAGTGAGATTTTAGCTTTTACCTTGAAATTCATTCTCAAATTTGCATGTTTTACAAGCTTATTAATTGTTAATCGAAATTAATTCTTTATTAAGTAGTATTGGTGTAAGATTTAGAAAAATTATGTATGAAACTATGAATATCAATATTTGATGCTTGATTTTATTTTTTTTTTAATCTGTTATGCTTAATTTGTTATGCCATGATTTTAAATTTTAATGCAACGCTTTTAATTTCAATAAATTTTTATTTATCATACTTGGATTTAGAGGTTTTTTTTAATAATTTTATATATTTGTGTAAATGCTTATTTTGATGAAGATGCTCCTCATTTAGGCCAAAACAAATGAATTAGTAATGTTGCTTTATTTATTTGACATTCATCTTTGTTATGGATTTGATTTGAGACTTTCTATAATATTCAGTTTTATTTTGTAGTGAATTTAGTTTAAAATTGAGTTTTTCCTTATTAAAATGTTTTAGTGAATTTATCTTATATTATGTATTTTAATATTTATTAGTTTAGCTCTTAAAAATTATTTATATTTAATTAAATTTATT